AGATGGAAATTGCATACGGTTCAGTCTAGCATGATTTTTACTATCCTTGATTCCCCCTTGTCCTAAACTACACATTTAATCAGCCTCCAAATATTTTTTAAAAATGTATTTAAATTCTCTCAAGTCCATCCACATCTCTCTGCTGCTGCTACTGGCTGAAGAAATCTCTCTGGGAGTACTTCAATTGCTGCATTCCCTGTCTCCAGTTTTACCTCCCTGAAATCGATTTTCTAGTGTCTCGAATTGTATTGCTCCTTGCTGAAAGCCCTTGTAACACCATGCTTTTGGATAAAGTCCCAACTCCTTAACATAACTAATTTTGCTTCTACCCTCCAACCAGCTTATCTTTCATTCTTGTATCCCCATCCTCCTCTCTCACTCTAATTTTAGGCTGTTTGGTAATTACTGATTAATTTGTACGTCTCCATTTTCAGGTTCAGCTAAGCCTAAGATCCTGTGGTTTTAGGCTACAGAATAAAGAAGGAATAACTTGAAATCAATATGTTAATTCAAAAGTCATCAAATTCCCTGGGCTATACATTAGGCATCTTTGCCGAGCACTTTCCAGGAGCCACTGGGTATTGGGACCATGAAGTTGAACAAGGTGCTCTCAAGCTAGTGGGAGATACAAATATATAACCAAAAAATTGCAATTCACTGTGCTAACTACAAAAGAAGTATACAAAATAAAGGTGAGCTCCACAGGTGGGAAGAAGGGATAAATTTTGCCTCAGTAAGTGGTGGTGTAGAGAGAGATAAAGGTTAGGGTGAGGTAGAGGAAGTTTTTTTATAGCAGGTAAATTGAATTGGTGTTTGTGCAGAGTGCAGAATGGGATCTATTCAGCAGATTTTTAAAAGAATAAAGTATTCTGATATAGGAAAAGGACAGACTTCATTATTAAAGTCAATTGAGATTGCATGTGAATAAGTTGACTTATTCATTACAGGTAACTTAGGACAAAACAATTGGGTTCTTCATGGCTAATGAAAAGGAATTGACTGACAGGAGTACAACTTATATTTCCTGAATGTCTTGTTAGACTATGTTTCTCAATTTTACTCCAATCACAGTTATGGATGAGAAATTGTTTACTTAGCAACAAGGATGGAAAAACAGGCATAAACTCAAGAGATATATAGATTAGATACTCACACATGTTTTCAACATTTATCAAGCCTTACAATGAAAAGTTATAGTCTTCATTTTCAAAGAACTTTAGGAAGACATTAAAAGGAGTGTTCTGATCAAAGATAGATGAGCTACGCATCATAATGACATTGAATGTCAGAACTGGAAAAGGTCTTATACATTATCTATTCTATTACTCTCATTTTACAAACTGAAATCCAGAAAGATAAAACTATATGCCCAAGTCTTCCTGTTAACTATGGAATCTCTGGACTTAAATACAGTACTTCAGAGTCTTAGATATTGAATAGGAAAACAAGTTGCAAAGGAATATATTATACTCTGTACCATTTTGAGAGTTTTCAAAGCACTGTTGGAGGGTTAATCTCAGGTGCCTTAGTTTAATTTTGCCTAGAGGTGTGGTCCTGCCTGATGGATTAGTCCTTGTCACAGAGGGCAACATTAGACTCTCACGTGCCAAAGAAAAATCTGCTATTGGAAGTCAGAGAAGAGAGAGACTGCTTTGGGCCAAAGCAGTTTAGGAATAAAGAATCGGGGTCCACTCTTCAGTGATAAATGGAGGGAAAATAGGGTAGCCGTTGTTGGAGAGAAATGGTGGGAATAGCAAAGGCAAAAGACAAGCAGCAGGAGTGAGGCTACAGTGTTTGGGGTGGGGGAAAAACCTGGTTGGGACACCTAGATTTAGAGGAGGGGAAAAGCACCTCTTGGAGTTCTCTTTCAGTTCTGTAACTCAGGGATCTTTTCTGTCCTGATTACCATTTTACCTTCCTTCTGGGAGGGAGCCAGAGAGAAAGAGGTATCCTTTAACTAATAACTATAACAAGTAATCCCCAAGAAGTGCTTCTTAGTGGAGGAAGGTGTTGAGGTAATCCGGCCTGCAATTAAATTGCCTCAGGCCAGGAGGAAGTACAGTGTCACCAGAGAAATTCCAAGGGAGTTTTAGCCCTCACCTGCTGGAGCTGACTTCCTTCCTGTGACTTATATATACATAATTGGAAGCCTCTTAGCTTGAGACAGACTCCGAGGAGATTGCAGACAGCAGTCCTTCCTGAACTCAGGTGAGAGAGCGCCCTCTCTCTACACAATTCACACAGTTCTGGAGATGAGTCCAGTTCCCCCAGTCATCTACCCAGGCGTGTCCAGGGCCATGTCTAAAGGAGTCCTTTTCATTAGGACAAAATATCCTAGAGGATAGGGAGTTGTCATGTTTATCTTTGTACTCCACTATCTAGTATGACATTCAAGACAGTGGGTACTTAATAGAGGTTGATCAAATTATTGAATTGAACATATATTTACCACACACCTACTATGTTCAAGGTAGCCAACATTATTCTGTTTTTGAATGACTTGATTCAAATCTTTTTGAAAAGAATTGATCACTTGCTAGATGCTAGGTCCACAAATCATGCATCATTTGTTTAAATGTCTAAACAAATTTCTGGGGTAAATTGAATTATCACCATTTTGGGGCTAAGAAAAGAAAACTCAAAGAGGTCAGTCAACTTGTCCAAGGTCACACAGATGGAGAGTGAGTAAGTCTTCCAGATTTACCTGTGACATTTTCAGTGAAAGTCTGATGTCCTGGACTCCCCTCAGTCTTGGGAAAATTGGGATAACCTACATTGGCGGGGATTTGTACAGCATGCATTTGGACTGTTTCCTAACCCAGAGTTCTCTCTGATACTTTGGGGTTTAGTTTGTTTATCCCCTTGTCCTGTATGTGGCAGTATCCCAAGTGAGCATGAAGTAAGTTATACCAAGCCTATTGTTTGGCACACAGGAAAAGATCAGTAAAACAGAAATAATTAACAGTGCGATGCCAAGCCACACTGGAGCCTAAGGTAAAGGGGAAGGATGTACACCCCTATACAGATGCTTTTATTATTTTGTGTATGTTATTTTTTCAAGACATTAAGGGAGTGGAAAATTATTGAAAATTTGAAAAGTAATTGTATTACAACTCACATTATTTTTAAGCTTAAATATGTTATTTATGTCCCTAACACAATTTATTATAATTTTACTTTTCTGGTTTTAAGGGAATAAACTCATCATTGATATTTTCATCATATATTTCTGGGAAAAACTAATCACTATTGATACACAGAAACATAGATACAGATATAGATACCTAAATAGATATAGATGGATGGATAAACACATATAAATGGCTCGATAGATCATATATAGATAGATATGAGCGCTTCCCTGTTTAGCTCAGCTGGTAAAGAATTTGTCTGCAATGCAGGAGACCCCGGTTCGATTCCCGGGTTGGGAAGATCCCCCGGAGAAGGGGCAGGCTATATCCCCTCCAGTATTCTTGAGCTTCACTGGTTGCTCAGTCAGTAAAGAATCTGCCTGTGATGCAGGAGGCCTTGGTTTGATTCCTGGGTTGAAAGATGCCCCGGAGGAGGGCATGGCAACCCACTCCAGTACTCTTGCCTGGAGAATCCTATGGACAGAGGAGCCTGCTGGGCTAGAGTCCCCGGGGTCACGAAGAGTCAGACAGGACAGGGCAACTAAGGCCGGCCCAGCTATTAGTTCTCATCTTCCCTGCTGGCTTGGATCCCAGCATGGCTCGGCATGGCACTGTCAGATTCTGTCTTTATTTAAATTGTAGATCTTTGTTCACCATGGATTTTTTTTTCATTAATTTTGCTACTGCATTAAAACATTCTTTATCTTGATTAAAGAGACTTTTGCCCCCTCCAGTTTTGTGCCTGAGATGAGTGCTTCACTCTCCCCTTCCTAATCTCAGCCCATTATTATCTTAACACTCAGCAAGTTCTATAAAATGCCCTCTTACAGAGCAAGCTTCGCCCCAAGAAGAATGTGTTCCTTCCCGCCTTTTCCCTCTTGATCCTGAACCTGAGTTACAAGGTTAAGAAAGCCTATCTCTTGGATTAGCTCCAGGTGTGCCTGACTACGGTCTTCCTGCAGAGGGCGTGGGGGAGTCCAGTCACCCCTGGAGGGCGGAGATGCGTTAGGTGGAATTAGGCTGATTACCCATCAGAACTTGTCTTTCCCTGGCGGGATTATTATGAAATCATTGACTTTCTACCTGGCTTCTGGGCTGAAATAAATCTACCATCCCCAAACAATCAACTTGATCTCAGACAAATGTCAAGTAGAGCGAAGTTCCTCTGCCCTGGGGATGGCCATAAAAATCCAGACAATTTCCCTCAAATGCTTTTGGTGGCTCAGCAACAGCTTCTATGTGGTTGTTTTCCCCCAGTTCCTCTGTGGGTCTAAGGGGAGGAGAAGGGTGAGTTACACTGGCATTCTGGAAAGGAAGACTATATACGTCAGTTCGCCAAAACAAGTTTTGACATTATCCCTGAGATGTCATCTACGTCTACTCACTGCAAGCACCTGTTGCCCCAGGCTTTACCTGCTGGGCAGTGACGATGGGGCTGGGNTCTGGAAAGGAAGACTATATACGTCAGTTCGCCAAAACAAGTTTTGACATTATCCCTGAGATGTCATCTACGTCTACTCACTGCAAGCACCTGTTGCCCCAGGCTTTACCTGCTGGGCAGTGACGATGGGGCTGGGAGGGGGACAAAATAAAGGGACCAGGACCTGTAGCACCAACCCATAGGCAGGCTCTGAACAGGCACCTGAAGGAGTCTCTTCTGGGAGGCTCACGGTCTTAGTAAGTTGAATGAATGGGCCAGACCATCTGAAGTTAGATGAAGCTATTAAATTTCTCCAGGGGCATGGGGGATGAGAGAGGGAAGTCCTCAGTGGTGGGATTGGCTTATTAAGGGCTGGGATGGGGGAATCGGTAAGTCAGGCTCTTTCCTTTGAATTCTTAGCTCCTGTGGTCTCCCGATTCTGGCACAAAATGAGAGGTTCTGGTCTTCCCCTCTGCCTTCTTTCTGCTGTGTTTTATCTCTTCTGGACATCTTCTGCTGGGCTAAAAACACTGCATTTGGGAAGCTGTGTGATCACCACAAATCTTCACGGTATTCGAAGTGGATTTTCGGAGATTCGGGACAGTGTGGTATGTGAGGGAGGCACCCTTTACCTTGTGACTGCCTCCCCACTTTTCTACTTGTTTTATCTGTCCTCCAGCAGGGTGGTCACGAAAAGAAGCAGGTTGGGGGCTCCTTACCAGGAGGATATGTTCCCAGGAAGTACCTGGTTCATAATGTAAAAGTGTTTTGGAGAGGGACTCTGCCCACTGGGTCATGGCACAGAGCGGATGGGAGATTTTGATGTCTAGGATCCTGGTGGGAATCACTGACCTGTACTTTCTTACCTTGCCCTCTTCTGTTTAGCAAGCCAAAGATGAAATCATTGACATCAGAATCTTGAGGAAGACTCAGTCTTTGCAAGGCACAAAGGTATGTGTTTGGGTCATATGAATTCTGGGAGGAAATATGAGTTGGGGGCATCCTCATTGACCTTGTCCCTGGACACCCTGCCCTCATAACACACCAGTCTTCTTTGTAGCCTGCAGATCGGTGCTGCCTCCTCCATTATATACTGAGATTCTACCTGGACAGGGTATTCAAAAACTATCAACCCCCTGACCACCATATCTTCCGGAAGGTCAGCCGTCTTGCCAACTCTCTTCTCAGCATCAAGAAGGACCTCCGGCTCTGTGTGAGTAAGGGTCTTGGGTAAAAGGATCCACCTCAGCACATAACTTAGTAATCAGGCTCATCTTAGACCCATTTAATGGATGGAAAAACTGAGTTCGAGAGTTCTAAAATAATCTGTGTTGAGCTATGGGATTAGGTAATAAGAACTCAGTTATATTGACTTTGGGATACATGCTCTATGCAAAATGTCTAAAGAACTATAAAGTGCTGGCTCTTTGGTGTCACTATAATCATCACTATATGTGAATGAAATTGTGGTTCTTCTGTGAGTTATCCTATGGTGTTTTAGGGCATCTTGAGTCCAGGCAGCTAATCAGCAGACCACCAGACTCAATCTCAAGATAGGACCTCAGAATCCAATTCGCTCTGTGGGAGGGGACTAGATTAGAATTCTGGGAGGAAATATGAGTTGGGGGCATCCTCATTGACCTTGTCCCTGGACACCCTGCCCTCATAACACACCAGTCTTCTTTGTAGCCTGCAGATCGGTGCTGCCTCCTCCATCATATACTGAGACTCTACCTGGACAGGGTATTCAAAAACTATCAACCCCCTGACCACCATATCTTCCGGAAGGTCAGCCGTCTCGCCAACTCTCTTCTTACCATCAAGAAGGACCTCCGGCTCTGTGTGAGTAAGGGTCTTGGGTAAAAGGATCCACCTCAGCACATAACTTAGTAATCAGGCTCATCTTAGACCCATTTAATGGATGGAAAAACTGAGTTCGAGAGTTCTAAAATAATCTGTGTTGAGCTATGGGATTAGGTAATAAGAACTCAGTTATATTGACTTTGGGATACATGCTCTATGCAAAATGTCTAAAGAACTATAAAGTGCTGGCTCTTTGATGTCACTATAATCATCACTATATGTGAATGAAATTGTGGTTCTTCTGTGAGTTATCCTATGGTGTTTTAGGGCATCTTGAGTCCAGGCAGCTAATCAGCAGACCACCAGACTCAATCTCAAGATAGGACCTCAGAATCCAATTCGCTCTGTGGGAGGGGACTAGATTAGAATGGGGCAGGGGTGCAGGCCGGATGGGATACAGTGATCACAAACTCCTGCAGTGCTGCCTGTTTCTAAGCAGAAGCTCTATATTTGAGCCTAAAATGCTGGCTTCCTTTTCTAGCTGATGTACACTTTAGTGATCCCAAATAAGGAGGTATGAAAAGATTTCTATAGGTGGAAAGAACAGAACTCCCACCTACTTCATGTCAATGGCAGAAAATTGCAATCTTTAAAATCTAGCATTCCTTGGTATTCTTTTCAGCATGCCCATATGTCATGCCCTTGTGGAGAAGAAGCAGCGGAGAAGTACAGCCAGATTCTGAGTCACTTTGAAGAGGTATATGCAATTTTGGCCTTGGCTGGGATGAGTGTGTTTTTAGAACTGAGATCATAGATGGGTGGGATGGATATTCATACTCAAAAGAAATCCTATAGCCCTCAGGTTAGTGGCCCTCTGAGGGCACGTGGACTATCCATCTGCTTTAATGGGTATCCCAAGGGATACCCGTGCAGGCTTTGGAAGGGTGCTGTCTCTGGAAGACTCTCTGGGAATCAAGAGGGAATAGCTATGATTCCATCAAGTCACCCCAGAGACACCTGGACCTTTCAGCTGCACAGATAAGAGGCATTAGTTTTCCACATTCACACACACACGTGTGCATGCTAAGCTGCTTCAGTCGTGTCCGACTCTTTGCAACCCTGTGGACTGTAGCCCACCAGGCTCCTCTGTCCATGGGTTTCTCCAGGCAAGAATACCTGAGTGGGTTGCCATGCCCTCCTCCAGGGGGTCTTCCTGTCCCAGGGGTCGAACCCTCATCTCCTGCGTCTCCTGTATTGCAGGCAGAGTCTTTACTGCTGAGCCACCGGGGAAGCCCTCACACACATGTACATACCTTCAAAAACAGTCATTCACCATTTCACAAACGCTTTTGCCATGCTGTTTCTCACCTCAAAGCCTTCGCACCTCTGTCGGGAAGACTGGAGTTTGCTGCACACTCTACTCATCCTTTAGGACTCAGCCTAGGTATTACCTGCTCATCCTTTAGGACTCAGCCAAGGTATCGCCTCCAGGAAGGCACTGGCTACTTCTCTGAGAATGAAGTGCCCCCCTGTTGTCCTGAGGGCACCTCGTCAGTTATTCACCACACTGCATTTTAACTGCCTGCTTCTGCTCGTCTCCTTTACATGACTGTGAATTCCCTGTGGGTAGTGATGGCACCATTTATCCCTGAATCCCTAGTCAGTCCAGTGCTTAGCACAGTAAATATTTGTTCAGTGGGAGGATGCACAGTAGGCAATCCCTAAACACACACACACACACAGAGAAACACATATTTTTCTTTTAAAAGCAGCTTTACTCTCTGTGATTCAAGAGGCTTGGGTTGCAGTCCCAATTCTGCTACTCTTCTGGGCCTTAGTTTCCCTATGTAATACTAGTGTGACTGCTGCTGCTAAGTCACTTCAGTCGTGTCCGACTCTGTGCGACCCCATAGATGGCAGCCCACCAGGCTCCGCCGTCCATGGCAGCCCA